TTGGACTGGAATTCTATCCTGGTGCACTCTGCATGTGACCTATAGTCACTTTCCACCTATACCTGGGGTTCAAAAAGATGAGGGCGATGAAGAATGAGGAACGGTATTTCTGCAGCCAAAGCAGGGACAGTCCACACTCACTCACCAAATCTCTGACCCTCTGCATGAAACCCCAGTGGCCACCTCCAGCCCAGTCCAGGCATCACAGAGCAGGCGGTGCCCTCAAGGAGATACAAGAAGCAACCCTAGTGGAAAAGACTCGGAGCTTTAGAGCAGCACAGACCTCAGCTCCAATCTGATGCTACCGACGGCTAGTTGCACAAGCTTGGGTAAGCCACTTCACCGCCCTGTGCTTCAGTCACTTCACCTGTAAAATGGGAATAAGGCTTTTAAAGTATTCTTTGAGTTCACCTATGCAAAGTGTGACAAACCTCAGCTCAGTATAATAGAGTGAAGAAGCTGGAAGGGCAGTAATGGCTGGCAAATGCACCTCCAGCAGCAACCCAGGAAATCCTGCCCTTGTTTTCTCCTCAGACTCTGGGCACAAAAATTAATCAAGACTTCTGAGGCCCGAAGTCTGGGCCTGTCAGATTCACTCTTCTGGATTGAACTTTTAATTGGAGGCAGATCACTGGGGCTTGCTCTTGCCAGATAAATAAATGGTACTTTGAAAATTATACCCGGCTAACTTCACCTGCTCACAGCCACACCACCTGGTGCTAGGAAAGCGAGCTCTGACTCAATTGCGCCTGAGGGGCCCGAAGGGAGAAAGTAAGGTTAAATCTCCGGAACCACACATCCGTCTGCAATGGACTGTGTGGGCAGCGTGCATGAATGAAAAGAACAGAGAAGAATGAATAAAGGAGAAGCTGCAGGAGGCAGAAACTGGAGGGGAGGCTCTGTCTTGAAGTAGCTACGACTTTGATATCTCTCTTTTTTTGGAAATGCTCTCTGCTGCTACTTGTTTGGGTTTAGTACTGCTAGAGAAACGGCTCATGAAGCTTGAGGTGAGGTGGAGATGAATTCCCTCTAATGAAAATCCCTGAACCATCAGAGTGCTTCATTAGTTCCACAAAGACCTCTTAGGCATGCGATGGACACATTGGGCTCTTCAGTGAGAAGATTATTCCCCAGGTGCTCATTTGGATGCTGAATTCTGGTTTAATCACTATTGAAACTGTCTTGAGAAAAAAAATGGGGCATGTGAAAATGAGAACACTCAAGGTCATATTTACCCACATTGTTTAGAGTGAAAAATGTAGCTCATACAGAGCCTGGCTACGGAAACTACTTCATTAAACATAGATGACCACTATGTCCAAGCCTTTGTACTTCCTTTTTTAATATCTAACAAGTTTTGGTTTTAGTATTTTATCTAAGAAAAAGAATGTGTTTGGGGCTGGGTGCAATGGCTCACTTCTGCAATTCCAGCACTTTGGGAGGCAGGTGGATCACCTGAGGTCAGGAGTTCGAGACCAGCCTGGGCAACTTGGTAAAACCCTGTCTCTACTAATAATACAAAAATTAGCCAGATGCAGTGGCCCATGCCTGTAATCCCAGCTACTTGGGAGGCTGAGGCAGGGGAATTGCTGGAATCTGGGAGGCAGAGGTTGCAGTGAGCCAAGATTGTGCCACTGCCCCTCCAGCCCGGGTGACAGAGTGAGATTCCGTCCCAAAAATGAAGAAGCTAATAAAAACAATGTGTTTATAAAACTAAGGAGAGACCTTTTTCAAGATATTTTACAAGTCTGCCTTTTGATGATAATGAATTAGTACAATTGTGCACTTGATAACAGTGATGGTGCAGTAACCAGGGAATTCAAACCTTCTCCTTGCAGATGGGGAAACAAAGGCCCAGAGAGGTGAAAGGACTTATGCAGATCACAAAACTTGCCATGGGCTGACCTAGGCCTGGAGCCTAGGGCTTTCTGTAAATATGTAAATATTTATGGATTTACATATGTATTTATTAATTTTTAAATAGTAACTGATTTTCATTTCCGAGTAAGTACATGTCCATATTTTAAAGAGTAAAATAGCACTATGTAGTTTATAACAGAAAACAGTGGTCTCAAACCCTAAGTGCAGCTCTTCAGAGGTAACTCCTTTCACCTCTATCCCATGCTTCCTCTGACACATGCCTCCATTTTTTTATTTTATTTTTTTTTTTGAGACAGAGTCTTGCTCTGACGCCCAGGCTGGAGTACAGTGGCGCAATCACAGCTCATTTTTTATATTTTTAGTAAAGATAGGGTTTGGCCATGTTGGCCAGGCTGGTCTTGAACCCTGACCTCAGATGATTCACAAAGGTGTTCCACAAAGCCTCCCAAAGTTCTGAGATTACAGATGTGAGCCACCACATGCAGCACCTCCATATTTTAAGATAATCCGCCAATAGTAGATTTCTTGTTTTACCAATTTTAGGCATAATCTACTCATATCCTAATTTGAAAAACAAAGAGTTAGCCTCTCCCGACTTCTCCCCTGTTCTACCTATATTTGGCAGTTATTTTTAAATTTTTGGTTCGGTTGGTAATTAGTAAATAAATTATTAAAACCCTGCAAGTCTTCTCTGCTGAGTCTATTATGACTTCATTTTCTTTCTTTTTAAATTTTTTTCTTGATTATGGAGTTAGTAATCTCCTTATATATTTATTTTTTCCTTTGGTTAGCCATGTACTTTCATGAATTCATCTCAAACTTTCCAGCAGATTGCATTCTCCCTCTCAGCACTATTTTCTGTATACATCTGGTTCTCTATCAGTTAAGCACTGTTCCTGATTACGTCTCCCTTTGAGTCCTGTTCTCTTGCTTCAGACTAGCTAGTTGCTTACTAGCTCTGTCCAGACTTCAAGTGGGGAAAACCCTTCACGGGAATCCTTTTGGTCTTAGGTTGGATTCTCCTGTTTCCTAGAATACATGTATTCTTCTTAATTATTCATTCATTTTGGTGAAGTACTGCCAGAGAAAAGATGCACAGGATGAAAATGGTTGTGAAAATGACTGTATTCTACCCTCATATTCATTTGATAGTTTGGCTAGGTATAGAATTTTCTACCTAACTGATAGTTTAGCTGTGTCTAAACTTCTTCCTCAGAATTTTGAAAGCTTTTCTCCTTGGATATCTAGCTTTCTATGTTGCATTTGCGAATTCTGATGTCATTCTGATTCCCATTTTTAAAAATATATGTTTCTAGAATATTCTTTTTATCCCTTTGAAGTGGAAAAATGTATTGACTATTATGTATTAGACAGATTCAAAGCTACGCACGTATCTTAATAGTCCTTACAAAAAAAATTGAAGTGAAAAATTACTTTTCCTCTTTTTCAATAATGGAATTGAAACTCAGGGAGGATATGTAATCTGCCTGATCCATGGGGCCTGTCACTGTAGGGAATGCTGTAGTGAAAACTCCAAAACCACACAAAAATTGCTCATGCATATTATATGTTTGACTTGAGTTGTTAGTGGTCTCAGCTTATCAAAGTTACTCAGGAATGCTAGTTCTGGAGGTTCTAACAACATGTCCATCCCTGCTCAATGCTGCAGGGAAAAGGAAACATGGCAAGTCACTTAATGGTCATCAAAGTTTCTGCCTGGAAGTAACACAGGCCACTCCTTTCCATGTCCAGTTGGCCAAAGCCTGTGACATGGCCACACCTAACTTTAAAGGCAGTGGTAGTAGTTCCATGAGGGAATTCCTTCCTGGCAGTTTTCTGTAAATCTACGTGTTTTTCCAAATCCCAAGTCCCAGTGAAATGTAGTCAACAAATTGGGAAAACAGAAAAAGAGTATTATGATTCTTCCACAATAATTAAAGCATAGGAATCAACATAGACATATTACTCATGTTGATTTGAAGAGCAAGACCAAAAAATGCTAATGTGCAAAATCAAAGGTAAAGATCAATATTTCTAGGAACCAGGATAGGAGGATGGACTGGAGAAGTAAGAATCATCTAATCAGTCTTGCTTGTAGCATTGCCATATTATAAGTGTGTATTCATGGCTTTGGTTGCTGGGTGAGTCATTCTTGCAAATAAAATCAGTATCAGTAAGTGTGTATGTGTGGTGTACTTCATACAAATCCTATGAGTGATGTTCTGAGAAACCAGTTTTGAAAATAAATGTCTTTAAATTGGCAGTTTCAATGCATGGTTCTATTTAGTGCTGTTAACTTTGCTGAGGGATCTGAATGTTATATTATTTGAATACAATCCAGTAATATTGACTGGTGTTTTTCAGTGTTTGAATATTCCCTCTAGGCTACAGTTCTTTGTAAATATTTTAACTGAAGAAATTCAAGGAGCAGATGATATGAATGTTGTGGGAGACTCTGACAGGAAATCAGAGACTGAACAAAAACCTGAATTAGCAAAAGCAATATCAATTTCAATGGCAAAATCAAAACCAGACCTAGCAGACAAGAAAAACAAATATTTTTATTTTCATTATTAAAAAAACAAATAACTTATATGAAGCAATAGGTGCTCTAAAGCTCAGCCTGAGCTTTTCTGAAGATGCTTTTGGATGCACTCCTTACAATTGAACAGATGTCAATGCAAGACAGGAAATTGTCTAGGCAAATAATGCTTTGTGTGCTCCACATTTTCATTTTAATAATGATAACTTATAGAAATATTTGTGGTAATATATTTCATTTTAGTAATAATTTTTACTTTCTATTTATCTTATGTTATTTTCTCCATCTTTCAATATTTTCTAGTCTCAGATGTTTATATAAAGAGATTATTTTTGCATGTTATTGAAATATATATTCTTTTTGCATTGAAATATGTTTTCTTGTTGCAGTAAATCAATTCACAGTAATAATAAGCCATGCATTTATTATTATGTCATTTCTAATAGAAAACTTCTGATAGCATAATCCTATCACAGGAAAATGACTTAGTATTCACTATTGCAGTTGCTTATTATTATATAAATAACATGTGAAAAAAGATCATAAAAAATAAAGAATAATTTATGATTTCAGGATTCCTGAGAACTAAAAATCCTGATTTGTTCCCCAATCCCAAAGACGTATGCCTCTTGGAAATTTGAAAACACCAAGCAGTGGAAGATATAGTACCACCAAATGGCTGAAATGACCACAGTCAGAAATATTTGGTGAATAGTACTAAGTACAACCCAAATGGTAAGTGCCAGAATCCAAATCCAAATTTCTTATTCTAGAACTCATGTTCTGTCTTCTACTCAAAACTTCCTCTATTGTCACTGGTTGTATATTAGTCTTTCCTTGCTCAATTATACCAGGATTCATTTATTTATCCACCAAGTATTTGCTAAGCCCCAGGTGTACAGGAATCACATTGGTCTCGCATGGTGATGTTCAATAAGTATTTATTGAATATCTGACTACCAGACACTAAAGGTATTATAGCATGAAATAGCAGTCCTAAAAGAATGAGGCACAGAATAGGCCATTTTCGATTGGGAATAGAAGGTAAAATCTAGAAAACAGTGGGACAGTTGGGATCTAGAGTGTGGTAGATGGCCAGGTGCGGTGGCTCATGCCTGTAATCCCAGCACTGTGGGAGGCCAAGGTGGGGGATCACCTGAGGTCAGGAGTTCCAGACCAGCGTGGCCAATGTGGTAAAACCCCATCTCTACTAAAAATACAAAAATTAGCCAAGTGTGGTAATAGGTGCCTGTAATCTCAGCTACTTGGGAGACTGAGGCAGAAGAATGGCTTGAACCCAGAGGTGGAGGTTGCAGTGAGTTGAGATCGTGCCACTGCACTCCAGCCTGGGAGACAGAGACTCTGTCTCAAAAAAAGAAAGAAAGAAAGAAAGAAAATAGAGTGTGGTAGATGGCTTCTGGAGTCATACCTGGCAATGTAAACGTGAAGAAGGAGGGAGGGAGGACCTAAAATGAAGGAGGTAGGCTTCTAAGAGAAAGATGAGAGCTTGCCAAGACATACAACACACTGAGTAGGAATGTGGTATTTGACATCTGATAGTCCTGCTTTCCATTCCTAATTTTTTGGGCCAGGCATGATAGCTCACGCCTGTAATTGCAGCACTTTGGGAGGCCAAGGTAGGAGACTGCTTGAGCCTAGGAATTCAAGAGCAGTCTGAGCAATACAGTCACACTCCATCTCTACAAAAAAAAAAAATCAATTTTAAAAATCTGAATTTTGTGATCTTAATAAATTTGCTGAAGCACTCCCGGCCTCAGTTTTCTCATTTGCAAAATGGGAACAAAAAAAATTAACTTTAAAGCTTATTATATGAGTTAAATACAAAGAAAACTCTTAATATAGTACCTGGGACACAGTAAATACTCAGTAAGAGGTCGATATTAATCATACTTTATCATTCTGTCTGGCTCTCAATTTTCTTGAGGATTTTAAAATATTTATTTAAAATGTGCCTTATAGATTTTTAAAAGTTTCTTCAATGGATGAAGAGTTCTGATGTAAGGAGAGACTATTTGAAATGTAGTCTGACTTTTTGGAGAGAAAAAATAGCCAAGACTTCATATTTCTCTGCATGTTTGTCCCGAAACCATGGATATAACATAAAAATAGAGGAATGTGCATGCTCTGAGATTTGGAATGTACATGCTAGTCAGAAAGAGTAAACAAATAGGCTTAGTGTGGTGGCTCATGCCTGTAATCTCAACACTTTGGGAAGCTGAAGCATGTGGATCACCTGAGGTCAGGAGCTCAAGACCAGCCTGGCCAACATGGTGAAACCCCATCTCTACAAAAAATACAAAAATTAGCCAGGTGTGGTGGTAGGTGATTATAATCCCCACCACTTGGGAGACTGAGGCAGAAAAATTAGTTGAACCCAATGGACGGAGGTTGCAGTGAGCTGAGATTACGCATCTTCATTCCAGCCGGGGCAAAAGAGCGAAACTCCATCTCAAAAAAAGAAAAAAGAGTAAACAAATATATTCAATACGTTTGCAATATGTTTTCTCTTAAGATATAATAAATGTGGTAGCCATTCTTATTCAAGCCTGTTGTGAGCTCATGCTGCACATCATAGTTGCTTATCATTTTAAATGGTTTCACCTGTCCTGAAGAACAAACTGTTCAAGGTACTTCTCTTTCAACTGAGAAGAGGAGCCACAGCTTGGGGCCAGCTTTATCCAGTTAGAGTCCTGGAAATGACCAAGTCAAGACTGCTTCCATGATTTCCTAAACGATGATTACTTTGTATGCCTACCATGCCAAGTTGAACGTGTTTTTTCAAAAACACATTCCAGACATGTGTCACCTTGTGAACATCTTGATCTGTCTGGCCAGAAATGAGGCAAGAAAGAGGAGCCATGATCGAAAATTTCTCTGATGAAGACCTCCAACTCTTGTGTTGTAGGGACCTGGTACACCATTTAAAGAGTTTAGACATATCACTTTAACCAATGGTCCTTAAAACGAAGGAGAGCTACTAAAGTCTTCAATGAGGGTTGGGTTTGGAAGGACATGATAAGATGTATACTTCAGAAAGCTCACTCTGGCTAAAGTGAGAAGAATGGATTGCAGCACAGAAAATCTTAGAGGCAGGAGGAGGCTATTTCAGAAGACCAAGTGAGAGAGGAAGGTAGCCTAGACCAGGTGGTGGTGATAGAGATGAAGAAAGGGGGACAAATTCTTGGACATATTTGGAAAGTCTCATCATTCAGGATTTAGTTGTTGATTAGATGTAGAGAATGGGGAAGAGGAAAGAGTAAGAGAATGCTGCTCAGATTTTTGGGTTGGGCATCTGAGTAAATGGCAGTGAATTCACTCACATTGGAACTCTGGTGGAGGCAAAGGTTGGTAGGATAAGGAAGTTCAGTTTAGGACATGCTCATTTAGAGCAACCGTGGAACTTTCAAGTGAAGATCAGGTTATCAGTTCTCTGAGTCTCAGTCTAGGACTCTCCTTGCTGCTCCATAGCTGCTTTATCCCTCAGACACATCTTAGACTTGGAGATGGAGGGGAAGAGGTGCTACTACGGATCTTTAGTCATAGCTGGCATGTATTTGCCCAGATGGTTTGGCTGGGGAATCCCCTTTGGTGTTAGGGGAGATAATGTGTGAGGGTGGGGAGTGCAGGGAGAAAACCTCAATATGACAATATTCCCATTTTCAGAAACATTTATCCACTATAACAATACTGTAAATGATTCAGGCAGGCAAGGGCCGTTGATGGATGCTAAAACAAGTTTGTTTGTAAACAAGCTATTTATCCAGTCTAAAATTATCCTCCTGAAGATTATTACCACAAAGGAAAAATGCTTTAGAGTGAAGAAATCTGGGTGATGCCACCAGTACCTCCCCATAGATTATTTATTACAAAGAGAGAGAGATTCCCTAGAAGTGGAGCAATCACATGGATACTACTTTAACCACATGACCGAAAGTTACCTTCACCATCAATGGGGCAAACTACATCAGATTCCCCCTAATGTGACACACCAGGAAGGACACATTGTGTGCATAATTTGCATCTCACACCAGACAAATCCCAGAGACATGTTAGAGAACTACAGGCCTACACTCTTCAAAAATGCCAATGTCTTAAAAGACAAAGGTTGAGGAGCCTCTTCATTCTCAAATAAAAAAGACTTAAGCATAACAACTAAGTAGAAATACAAGTCCTGGAATTGGGAAAACATGTTATAAAACCCAGTATTGGAAAGAGACTGGCAAAATTTGGATGCAATTGTGTTCAGTAAGAGATTCGTATCAGTGTTAGATTTCCTAAATTTGATCATTGCACTATGTCTTTGTTCGCAGGAGACACTTGCCAATGTGTTTGGGTGGCAAGGGTCATGATATCTGCAACTTACCTCAAATAGTTCCTAACAATAATAATAATAAATGTATATATAAAGCAAACATAGCAAAATGTTAATAACTGGTGAATACAGGTGAAAGTATACTGGTGTTTTATGTATTCTTTTTGCAACTTCTCTGGGAGCTTCATATTTTTTTCAAAAGGAAAAGAAAAGAAATATATCTACCCAACCCATATACAAGCAGAGGGAGTTCTAAACACTGAAGACTCTAACCAGTATTTTTTTATTAAGATCAAATATTTAATATTATTTTTTCTAGCCACTAAATTCCATCTTTATGAAATGTTGAAATAGGAAACAGGTGAAGGAGTAATTTCCTGCACTGCCAGGCTCCTAAGAATGTACAGTATTTGCTGTCAATTTGAAACCTGCAGTGTTTAGAAAGGAATTTGCTTTCTTTTAAATCCAGGTACCAAAATTGAAAGCCCCAAATGTCCAGAGAGCAGCTGGAACAAGAATTGCTGCCTGCAGGCACTTCTGTCCACCAGCCACGTGTCAGTGAGTGGCCCTGGACACAGCCAGGCTGTGTGTGCACCTGTGGTTCCTGCCATGGGGAGCAGGAGCCATTTGGTCACTCCTCTTCATAGGGCACCACCTGCGGTCTCTCACTGCCCAGGTGAGCAGAGCGCAGGAAGTTAGGGAATCAGAGCGCTGAATGGATCTTGGAAAGCAACCAGTCCAACTCTCCCCACCTTCCCATCTGTGGCATTAATCACCTCTATAATGTGATAACCAACTGGTCAACCAACTTCTATTTGAACATACCCAGTGGCTAAAATGTCTAAGCAGCTCATCCATTTTTGAATAGCTTAAATTGTTTGAATATCCTTTCTCTTAAGAATAAGTATTAGTACAAAATGCCTACTTCCATTTCTTAGGTATCTGGTAATTTGCTTTTAGTGAAAAAATGTCAAATCAGATTAACTAAAATTGTGAAACACTTTGAATATTTACAGTCAATAACTTAAATCATATATTTTGGATCCTTCAGCAGGCCATCTATGTACAATAACATTTGGAAATCACAGAAATTTACACTTGAAGGGCCTTTCCTGTTCATTACTTTCTGAGAAATGTCCATTTTATGGCCATATATTTGAAAACAAACAAAAATACAGCAAAATTATATGGACATGTAGTAGGCATATGTGGATGTATGGACAGCACATTTCCATGTGAATAGATAGGGACATGAGAGGGTAGACATCAAGGGTATTCCTAGGGAGTGGAAGTGGGTAAAGGAAAAGAGGCTTTTACTCTTCACCTTAGACATTTTGTTATTGTTTGATTTGTTTTTAATAAACAATATGTTTCTATTTTTATCACTTAAAACCATTTTCTC